AAGGATTATCAATAATAACTATATATATATATATATATATATATATATATATATATATATATATATATATATATATATATATATATATATATATGCAAGAACAGGTTAGAGGTCGTTTGGAGATAAAAATCCAAAACACGTAGGTAGTAGGTGATGCGATAATTGAATGAGGCCCAGCGACAGGTAAGACAGATTGTGAGATTATTCTAGAGGTTGTGAAGAGTTTACATAAAATTAATGGAATCGGAAACTAATAAGATGGGTTACTCAATGAATGGACAGGGTCTGAAGACTTTACTCGCATCCATAAAGAGAACCGACCGTATGATGCTAAAATAGTATAATAACATTCTTTTAGGCCATTCTACACCGAACGTTTATCAACCAATCATTTCTTTGATTGTTTAGTAAAATCCTTTGTGCTAGAAAACCTATGACTGTAGGGCATAGTCTGTACCGTTTCAAGCAATTTTCAGTTTAGATTTCTTTTTTACTTCTTATTCAAATTAAGCACAAAGTTTGTGTTCTGTTGTGATGTAACTCGAGGGATTCAAAAAGGCTGTGTGCCGTATAAGACATTTCGATCTAATCGAATAAACTTGTAGTGGCATTGGGCCGTAGCGACATATTCCTTAAAGCTGAGCCCAAGGTAACTGAGAAAGTAGATGGAGAGAATAAATTGAACGAATTTAGATTTATCGTATATAATGGCTCAGCCTTGATGTCGTGATCATTCTTTTGTAGCCTATACTTTTTATTCATAATAAATGTATTTTTCTATCTACAGCCTAAGTATGTTTTCCATTACATTTTGGTGATCGTTACGATACGATGAATAAGTATAGAAAATGATGTGACTTCCATATAAGATCTTATAGATTGGACAGTCATATCACGACAAATTTTCAATTTTAGGATTAAGTTTATTACTAGAGTCGTAGTAGTTATAGTAGTAGTGTGGTGTGAGCTACTTATATTCATATAAGTAGTATATAACGTGCGTTAAATAAACGTAAGGTCCGGCAGCAGAAGATGGCGAAGATCAAGAAAGAAAGAGCAAGAGCACAATGGAATTGTAAGAAAACACATGTACAATGGAATGGGAGACAATGGATTAGTGTTTGTAACGGCAACAGTACAGTTTGATATGATGGAATGATATTTTGCAAATTGACGATTGACTTTATGGTATTAACATTTTATTGAGATAGTCTGTAATCTTTGTGCTAAATACAATCGATTGTCCCCACCCATGATCTTGTTCACTACATTTGGTGTCGCTGCCAACCAGGAGAGGAGGAGTGTGCTGTTCTGCGGACGCCGTTGCGGGCCTGGAGCTGAGGTGCCAGTTCGGGCAGTCTGGTGCGGAGAGGTGGCGTCTGGTGAAGTGTCCTGGCGGGGCTGCGTTGGCTGTAGCGGGTGCTGTCGACGGAGTGGAGCGTCGGGACGCGCGGCTGCTGGGCGGACATCGGATGTAGATGGCTCAGCAGGCCGGTGGAGTGCGGATGTCAAGCGTCCCAGGTGCCGGGTGGATGTTGGTTGTTGTTACCCCGGCAGGTCGACAGAGCTGTGGAAGTCAGCGCGCCGCAGACTCGACATCTTGACGGAGAGCGTGGCACAGACTGCAGAGACGGAGAATGTTGCACGTCGAGCATGAACCACCACAAGAACGACTGCCTTAAGGGGGGGGACGAGTGTGGTGTGAGCTACTTATATTCATATAAGTAGTATATAACGTGCGTTAAATAAACGTAAGGTCCGGCAGCAGAAGATGGCGAAGATCAAGAAAGAAAGAGCAAGAGCACAATGGAATTGTAAGAAAACACATGTACAATGGAATGGGAGACAATGGATTAGTGTTTGTAACGGCAACAGTACAGTTTGATATGATGGAATGATATTTTGCAAATTGACGATTGACTTTATGGTATTAACATTTTATTGAGATAGTCTGTAATCTTTGTGCTAAATACAATCGATTGTCCCCACCCGTGTTCTTGTTCACTACAGTAGTAGTAACTATACAAACTCTTGTTTGTTACCTGTGCCTTTACACCATATACAGGAATTTCGGTCAATGCATACACACTAGCTAGAGGCACTTGCTCGGACATTCACACTAGATCATAGTCGGATGCACCTTGCTACGCATCCCTCACAGCAATTAATCAGATCACCTCCCACCCTTCGTATGCGTATTCAAACCACTTCATTACTGGATTTTTTTGGAAAGGCTGCCGGAATCCTTGCAGACAGATACCTGATGCAATCTTGTTAGGAACATTTTCACTGATTTTTAGGTATCAAAGTCATGAATATTAACCATTCCTGTAGTGATTAACACGTTTGTTTGTGCTAGAAAAACTCTTGACTGTATAGCACAGGCGGTACCGCTTGCGGTATTTTGTACCTTTGATACAATTCATTCCCCGTTTTGAATTAGAACCATTTAAATAGAACACGAAGTTTGTGTGTTTACCAAATCTGGTATGAGTCACTCAAAAACCCTTCGTATGCTTTACAGAAGAACGTGCCTAATCGAATGAACCTTTGTTCGTTAGTTCTGCGTTCAAACAAAACATCTGTATTTCGGTCGTTACAAATCTCAAACAATTATTAATCAGTAGCTAAAAATTACCAAAATGCTTGTTAAATGCAACAAGACGTTGACCATGAGCTCACTGTTTGTCCATGTAGAAATGAATGCAGATCCACCTCTAAATATACGACAAGTACCTTTTGATCCAATTCCATCTCATGACCCTGATGTTTGATGATGTAACGGACATAGCAGAGTTTAAAGAAAGACAATTAAGGGAATGACAAATCTTAGAAATTAGGGAGTTAAAGGATAGAAAATAAGAAAACTACTATACCTCCGAAGACGATTCGGGCCTTATGGTTAAACGAGAACATGGGTGGTGAAGTAATTTCAGCCTCCAATTTTGATGACAAATGACAGAAATATGTACACCGTCTTGCAAGCCAGTCTTATCATAACTTTGGAGACAAATATTCTCCAGAAAAACTAAAAATGTAAGACTATCCAGAAAGAAGGAATAGTGAAATGATCTCGTCATTACTAAGTGTGGGTCTTGAGCTCTCGAGAGCAGGACCATGCACTCTCGATAGTCAACCAGCAAAGTAATGGAATCCTATGGGACAGTTTGAATTACACGTTGTGTCGAGGGTTGAAAATATTTATCAACGAATCTTACTCTTTCCACACTATTGTAAAGGGAAAAGTCCACTGACCATAGAGAAATGCATCATGAACCCACCATCGTATGGTTATCGTAGAGCATGCAGTATATCGAAACAGTTGTTGTCAGAACATACAAGGTTAGCTGGGCCTCGCCAAAAGATTTGACTGAAAGTTCTTGTGTAAAGAACGACGGGGCAAAAACTCTGTTCAGGGTAGCAATAAAAATGAGAACAAGTGGATGGCACATCGGGTTTCAACTGTTTAAGAAAGCATAATAACGAATTTGCCTCCAGTTCTGCAGGTGAAATGGGCCGAAAGGTTCAGAAGAGTAACAGAAAATGGTAGCGAACTTACATTTGCCGAGTCAGCAGAGTCCAACTCATCTAACGTAGGAATGTTACTCAGTAGATTCAGGTAGACTACAACAAGCAGTAAACCAATTTTCATCAAGGTAACCTGTTCCAGACAAGTCAGCATCAAGTCATCAAGTGTTGCATGAGGAGAAAGTCATATAGTTGGTGAATGTTTTCCACATTCGAAGTCAACGATAGGTGAGCGAAGGAGAGAGAAAAAGACATGTATTTGTATCGTCTCAATGAAGGCCACGTATCAGTGGATTGTAAAGTTCGTGTCACATGTAATATCAAATGCTGTAAACGTTCTTCTTCGGGTCCCTGTGGTCTTCAGTAATAATGATACGGTTATGCTCAAATTCGTCATCAAAGTTTTTGCCATAGAACATGAGCTTCTCATGCATGAACAAAGTTTATGTTCATTTATCAGGCTCTGAACGTCTTGAAAAGATTAGATTTGTAAATATTTGCTCACTAGGCTATCGTATGAAGCAAAATTAAAGGAGTATTTTCAAAAATGTCTCTTCGATAATCTGCGAGATATGGAGGATATTCAAAACTTTAAAATGTGCCAAACATCTGCTTCATACAACGAGAGCAGCTAATAATAAGAACTGCTCTAAAACAAACGCCTTCATCCGAGTTGAAAAGTATACTAACCAACAAATAACTACCAAACTGACTGGAACTAGTGCAGTCGAGTGGCTACACTACCACTTACTGAATAATAATCAGAATCTAATACTGTCGTAGCTGTAAATAAATTCCAAAATAAATAGCTCTGTACGTTTTCGACCTTTTATGCTGATCAAATTAGTTTTAGTCGACTCACCTAGCTGAAGACGCTCGGTCATGTATCCGCACCAGATCACGAGTGGGAATGCCGCACTCAACATCCACTGCAATCGCTAGCCAGACTACATCAGACAATTGCTATGTATTGGCAGTCGTCAAATACGGCTTCTGATCTCCCCGATTCTGTCTTTCGATTTCTCTTGTTGGATACGAATTATATTAAAAGGTGCTACTGGTAAAAGCGTTGTCAAACACTTAATACCTGTACCATCTTCACTGTGCTGAAACAACAAGTGAACACAATGAAATCAACAAGCTTTTACAGGCTCATGATAAAGTTATTGGATCAAAAACAAAACATGATAGAAAACTATAATTCAACAGGAAAAACCCTCCTCATTACACAGGAAAAACTAGTTGCGTCACAGGTGCTTACGACCAGGTTCCAACCAACCCTGGAGTCACAAAATCCTTGATTGTTCGCTGAGACGAATTGCCATATCAGTAGAAGACAAGAGCCGAAATGAATCTTTATACCATAGTAAGTCAAGATTCAAATGAAACATATGACTGCGTTTAGATAAATGAAATTCAACAAGGGGTATAAAATGTATCACCTCCGATCTTGCTATTGAACACTGCTGAGTGGCATATTTAAAACAGGAACCTACACCCAAGGCTATGTCCGCCGTTGCAGCTCAAAGCGATGGAGTAGCCAAATTGCAACAGGCTCGCACAGCAGCTCTAGCAAAAATAGAGGAAGCCCGCAATCGTAATTGTTAACGCAAACCTAATATTTACATATAGGGAGGGCAAAGCGACTCAAGGAAGCTAAAGGTGAAGCAAATCTGGAAGTCGATGCTTTCAAAGCACAACAGGAAGCTCATTATAATTCACTTGAGCTTCAAGTATGTTAATAGTTTCTATTCACGTACAATCCATAGGTTAACTCTCAATATGGTCCTTATGAGGAGGTGTGTCGTCAAATGACAGACGAACAGTTAAAGTCAATGCAACGTTCGTTCCAGTCAAACAAAAATGCAGCTTTGCAGTTATTATTGTCTAAAGTCCTAGATGTAAAGCCTGTCGTCCATGTCAACTTTGGTTTTAAGAGTCCGGGGTCGTAGTACGTGTATGTCCTTTTAAAAGCAGAATTAGACCAAGTGATTTACAAGCATAATATACTTCCAATTGTGATTAGTAATCTAATTATTTTAACCACTATAATAGACGTTAATTTGCTTTTTATCGTTTTTTTGATAAACCAGGCGTTGTAGAAAAGAATACAAGACTGCTGTATTTGACCTAGTACGTGTTTACATATGTATTCCCAGTATTAGTCTTGGTAGGTCATTAAAGCGCATGATCCTACACAGATAAACCCATTGGTACTGCACCATGCTACCGAAATTAAATGGCTTCAAGCAATCACGACATTTTTATACTAACTTCTGAGAGTTATAGACGAAGACTGCAGATCAAAATGAAAACCGATAGGAATCCTAATGCATCTGATCTTCTGTCACTCCCTGGAGGGTTCTGGCCATTAATCTCTAGGTAGACTCCGCTGCTGACACTCATTTATCCAGAGAAGTATAAGCATACCCTTTAGCCCTGCGACGAGTCACGAAAATTTATGGGCTATTCCTAGTGGTCGTCAAGATGTTAGACCACAAAGTTTCCGAAAATTCGATGAGGTAGTATTCTTAGATGACTCTAAATGCAGTGTAATTAAGCTTGATGACCTTTGCAAATGATCATCAGTAATGACATGATCTAGCCGTGAGTCGTACGATCAACACACTAATTGATTAGGTTTTGAATTACTGTGTTGTGTAGGTTATGGACCTAACTCCTTGCAACTAGTAATTATCTGACTCGTCCCGTAGTATATTTCCGAAATCGTGGGGCTGGTTAGAAAGATATATGGTTCGTTTGTAGAGGTTAGTAAAAGCGTGGTTATACGTTGATCGATGTGATGAAATTTGCAATCTCAACCTTCCAGATTGAGTATTACAGACCATGCGTCTAGTTTTGGTGTATCCAATAACCGAGTCTAGTAATAATCATCTCACCTCACTGGGATGTTAGTGCAACAGGTATTGAAGATCTTTACGTGTGAATCCCATTTATATATTTTGGTTTCAATCATACCGTACCATTCTAAACAATGCACTTGTTAGTATCTATACTGTGCAAATAAACTTCACGCGACTGATGGAAAATAAAAAAAGTCTGAGGCAGTTCAAAGTGATGTCATTCAGATCAAAGTACTGTGAGAAGGCTGTGTCAATTTTACTCTATAATGGCTTCATGCACTTATTGGTATGAAGAAATAGGAATGTCGTCTACATAAAAGCAGACATAAATTATATCGACTATTTTTACTATTCATGATAGCCTGTTATTGCTTTGTACCACCAAACACAGTAGCTATACGTCTAAACTCCTTTTCTTTTGCAGTGAACCGACCACCTAGTGCACTAATTAGTGGGAAAAGATAACAACAAACATGTGACTGTATGGAACTTAGTAAGTCGGACGGTTACTCGGATTATAGATAGCTTCTTTGACTTTTGAAATCAGCAAACCTTGGTTAACTTCGTTAGTTGTGCCAGTCAGTACAAATGCACATAGCGTTCGCCTTGATACAATTCGTCTTCAGAAACAGTTAGGCTGCTTAGTCTCTCGAATGCTTCTGAGACTCAAAATTGGTTCGTCCAGTTCTCTACAAAAAACCACTGGTGTCTTCCCCCTTCGAATCCTTTGCTGTAGTTCACGTGATAAGTGGAGAACTCAGGGTTAGTTATGAAGCATTTCAACCCACTAACAAGGTATATCCATTATACAGAATCTTTCACCCCCGGGCAAATTTATAAGTGATATTTTCACCCACTACTATATGATTATTCAGTATATCTCCCGAATTCCTCAGTTTAAGTACCTTACGTCAAATGTCCAACATCTGAATCAAATGTTAGGAATTCAAGCCCATTATCGATACCGCACTACTTTATTTCCGATTCTAAAATAACTTGAAACTTATGATATGATAACTTGATACAGAGTCTAGTATGAATGCCCTTCCTACAGCCCTTTATGATGTAATCGGGACCCAAGGACTCAAAGACCTGATTACATCTTTTTAATAACACAGGTCAAAGGTTTTGCGTGAAACCCAGTTAAAATAATGGGTATATTCATAATAAATATCAATGTGTTCGCAAACTATTTTAGGATGCGATGCTACCCACGATTATTTTTTCTCCAAATAAAATAAGCAATACAACTGGTTGAATATAACTGAATGACGCTTATGTCAAAGTTAAATAAAGCATAAAATCTTAAAGAAATATGTTCGTTATTCTCTCAATATGTATATAAGCTGAAAATCACACTAGGCACCTGAAACTGTAGTAAGTTGACGTCTCAATTATAAGTAATTGTAATAAGCTACTTTGAAGCACACTCCAAGAGAATCATATTTCAATTAAATGTAATGATGACGAAAATTCTGTGCGAATTTTGTACAGGACTGATAATCTCTTGCACAAGATGGATAAACTGAATCAGCAAATTGTTGGGAGCGTCGATTATAAATATCCTATCTCTTAAGCACTTAATAAAATATCTGCATGACTAAAATGAGGCAGCTTCTATGTATTTTACTGACTACAGACTTTGGGTTTCAGGATGAGATGATAAAGGGTTTGTGATAATCGAAGCAATTGATTATAGTCAGTCTAAATGTACCGCACAAACTACAGTGAAGAGCGTTCCCAGAAAATAAGACATCTACGCAAATCTACTGATGATAAAATAAAACGCCAACGATAATTTCCTACTACAAGATTTGTTGAAAAACTAGATGACTGAATATAAACACTGGCGTTATGAGTACCAACACGTCTTGAGCTGTATTCCACAATGTTTAATCAGAAATAGACAACGGCAATAGGATTCAGTGACGATACTTATCCCGACAATATGAAGTTCGTCTTGAAACCGCTAATACAGAAAACACAAGTAAAAATACATTCTGGCATCGTTTCTCAAAAACTACGCCACTTAACCGTAAAATAAGTAGAAAAGAAAATACTATGGAAGTAGAACACATCACATGATTTATCATACATCTGAGATGCTGACGTATATAATGCATAAGATCTAATGATGTCTGCTATTGACAAGTTTCTAAAAACACACTGTTTGTCAATCGAAGCATCTGAGTCGCTCTCATCTTCGCTGTATATCTCCGAGTGACTCGTATCAGTATCTTCAATTGGTGATAGCGCAGGAGTGCTATGCTGTGTACGATGGTTGGTGCCGTTTGCAATAATCGCTGATTTTATTCCGAATTGCTGATCATCATATCCACGTAAACGTTCGTAAAATAACAAATAAGCAGGACTTGATTCCACGTGTTTGAACGGTACACGTATCACATGAGCATCGGAAGTCAGTATCCACGGCGAATTATGGGCATCAGGTGTGTTTGATATTCCTTTAAAATAGTTTGAAACATATTCGTACAAACTTGACAAAATATTAACTAACCAACACGACTTTTGTTGCACATGCAATACAGGTGTGTGCCATTTACGATACGTTATATAATGTCCACACTGATGAAATGCGCCTTCATGAACAATAACTGAACGGAGTATGTATGGTTTTGGACAACTGTAATATAAAGCAAAAATGATAATATAGTTTACTAGAAAATGGTGAGAAAACATATATAAGTAACTATAATCCAATGAACCGAACTATTGACTTGTGAGTTAGATTAAGAAGGGGGTAAGTACAACTTATGTTCATTTTATGATTTATGCACATTATATGAAGAAATGAAACTTATCAAAACAAATAGTATAAACGGCAACATATAGAATAATAATACGTCACTTTTTTTCGTTGTCAACAGTGCTTAGGAACTTGGAAAACCGCTGGGTTCTAACCTTGTAGATCTCTGGCTATCAGCGGTTTACAAGATCTAGTAATAAAACTTCCAAATATTAGTTGCAACGAGTAGATTCATGAAATCACTTGACTTTTCACCATTCTTACGCTTAATTAACTTTATTTTAAAAAACACATAGTTCAAAACAGGGTAAAAATAACCCATGAATAAGCTTCGAGCAGACGAAAATTTGTACTAATTATCCTGTGGTTTGAAGACTGTATTTTTATTTGTCCGACCATAGGTTTAAGTTGGTTCAGAGAGCGGCTTTATCCCACATACTAAGTGCTACTCACCCTAGTATACGAAAGAAATAACATGACTGAGTCTCACTTGAGTATCGTCTTTATTGTACCGGGCACTCTTGTTTAAATAAGTAATCAATAACTTCACAAAATTATTTTCACGAGGTTATATGAACTATGTATAGTATAAAAATTACCCAAGTTCAGTACAGTAAATTAACTGGACTGCATCCCATTCTGTCACTCAAGAGTTGCCAGTCATATTTCCTAAGTAATGAATTATAACTACTTGAACTACTAAAACAAATGAATTGATACTTTGTATTGTCAGAATAAATAACAAATTTAACATTTCTGATAAGTTGAAAATGGGAAAAAATTACAAACTCTGCTTCGAAAATAAATGACAAGACAAATAATTTATTGAAAACCTACTCCCTTCCTAATAATTCTGAAGTATTGGAAAGTAAACCTCCAGAGGGTTTGTCATGATATGGATTTACAGGCTGAGATAAAGCCTCAGTCTTTAAAATCCTACACGGCAACAAATAAGGCGCCATATTTAAAAACTCCGGAATATGTACATGTTCAGAACGCTTTGTAGCAATCCTGGTAGTTGAAAAATGATTTCCACCAAACTGACGAATATTATTCGATTCAGTGGATAAGCTAGCTATGTTTAACCAATCACTTCTTTGTATATACAAAACTAGGTATTTAGGAGTGTGTGTTATCCATTGTTCGCGTTGACAATAATTTAATGAACAGGATTTTGATGTCGAAGACTTCTGACATCTAGGGCACTTCATATCAGGTATAGGTTCGACAGTTGCCAACTGAGCATCAAGACACTCAATAAGATCTATCACTTCTGTAGACGTTTTGACATATGACTGTTGTAATCCTTTTACATTTGTCTTTACAATGCTGGGACTCCCTGATAAATAATGAAAACAAAGAATAAAACTAAACTCGGATGATATATATATATACAGAAAATCTGGAAAATTGGTATAAGGTAGTACGCGGTTTAAAGTACTTAGTATTATTATATATATATA